ACTCTATCAATAGTAACTGGGAAATGTGGTACAGCAGACCATCCATAGTGAGAACCGCTCTAATGTCTGAAGATATTAAAACAAATGAGAAAAGGAAAGATCAGTTTGTTAAATTGTCAGAATCTATAAAATTCACAACAAAGGTCTTTTTGAATCATAAATTTGATCTTTGAACTTTTCTTGGAAGTAATATTAAAATCTCATCGCGTCTCATTCTCGTGAAATCAGCATCGTGTCTCGTCTCACTTAGAGACCTTTTGATCTATCTGCCTTTCTTTCTATCATCTACCTTTTGATATTTATTTCCTTTATTTTCACAACTATTCATTTTCAGACTAATGCAGATTTGGAAGTTTGTCTCGAAGCCCTTCTATAATGTCTAAATCCAGTAGGTTACAAATGTACATGCAGCCAGTCAGCTGAGCAGAAGCAGTACAATGATTAACATCTAATTGAAATTCAACACATAATTTAATTTGTCCAGACAGGAATAAGTTTTAATAAACACTAAAATCTCTAAGAGGCACTTTAGGCTATTGAAATTTGTTGAAGAAAAATAAATAAATAAATAAAGCATGCTTTTAAATTCTGTTCATTCTGCAAACAGACAAACAGGAAAGCTGAAGGAAAAATATTGTTAAACAATTTCATGATCCAACCATTTTCTAAAAGTCATTTGGAAAATATTTTTGCGTTTCCAGCTTACATCACCAATCCCGTCATGTGTCGAATAGATTTGTCTGTTTTCTGATAACCTTTCATACAGGAAGGTGAGTCAGGAGTAAACAGCTGACGATACAACAGAGTGCGGCTGATCGGCCCGGTACGCCACACTGAGACCTCGATCTGCAGCTCATCTCATGATGCGACTGAATCCAATGACACGGGAACAGAGCGCAGTCAGAGGTGCTTTTTAAAGGTTGCTAGGGATACACTATCAAAAACACACTGCTTGTTAGGTGATGTGTTTTTTTTTTCTCTATCTCTCTTCTGAATATTCCACCCAGAATAACGTAGGTATCACCATTGCAGCTCTGACTCGTAGTTTGGATCTGCAGGATGTCTCAAACTAATTATCTGGTGGTGATTGCTGCCAGCAAATTTGCATGGAAGAAATGTTCATATTAATAACATGGTAGCTGACAGAACCTCACAGTAAAATTATACCATTGCAACGTGTTGTGATGTGTGGTTTCAAATCAGTCTGTACCTTCATGCCTTCAGAGTTCAACACCTTCAGACTGCATCAGCTGCAGAGGAACTGCTTTGGTGACTTTTGCTGTCAAATCACTGGAGATTCGTTAGTCCAGTTTAAAGTTAGAGTTGGTTATTTATGGATAATTAAAGCGTTTTTAAAGATGTCTTTCAGCTACATGCTGCATAATCTTTTTGTCATTTATCATATATTTTATGCTTCAAGTATCTATATTTGCAGGGAAATTAAACCAAATTTTCTATATTAGATGCAGAACAAGAACTCAGTAGGATCACATGTATCCTTTACATGTGATACATGAAAAGGAATATTAATCCTTCATGAAACAGAAATGTAAAACAAACAGCGATGGCTGTTGTAAGCCACCCTGAGCCTGTTCTGCTCAAGATTGATTTACTGTATTTATACATAGAACAAAAGAAAAGAAAAAAAATCTGTTCTGAAGTCCTAATATACCTATTGTCCTTTTCCCATTCTATATGCCTTGTTGTGCATTCACACATAGAAAAAGGTTTTATAAGAGTCAAACTGTGCCTAAAATAATCTGTTTGCTGCAGATCAGCTCAGATCTTATCATCAGTCGTCACCAGCGGCAGCACAATTGTCTCCACATGCAGATATGCAATAAACACTCTTTTCAGCATGCTTGTTCCATCTTTGATGGAATGTCACCCTGGTGAGGCATATAACACATCAAAAGATGCCTCTGCAGGTGAACGAGCTCAGATTTGTCCTCTCTGGTATTAAGACAGATACATAAACTGGACTGTTGGTTTAGCTGTTCCTGCCCTGTGATGCTTTCATTGTCAGTATGTATTTTACATTTGTGAGCAAGTAAAGCAAGAAGCTTAGAACCCTAAAGGAGTTGTCTGATTTGTGTTCCGACATGTTAGGGCGCACAAGCAAAAAACTGATGAGTATTTAAAATTGCACAGAGCTGCCACGTATAATACAAGCACCAGAAGGTGCCAACAGGTGCTGCAGATACGCAGCTGATGATTGCCAAAGCATCCGACTGTCAGTTAAAACATCAACCCATTAAGATGTGTCTCCTTTGATTCACATTTTATGTTACAGACTTAGTTTTTAGTCTTCTACTCATTTTTGTAGAACATCTATTGTCACTATGCCATAATGACAATAACAGATGATTAGAAAGGCGTGCAGAAAAATACTGGGGAGGTGACTTCTACTCTGTTGTGCTTGTCAACTGTGAGATACAGAACAAAATTTACCTCAACAACCTCCAATGATGTTTCAAGAAACAAAAAGTTGCCATTTGGTTTGAACTAAGCAAACAGGTATGAACAGGTATGATACCTGGGTGAATAACTTCCAGCTGGCATGAAGGTAATGCCATTGAGTACCTTCTCATTTCCCAGACATCCATGTGGAAACAAACATCCTATGGTTGGTAAAAGATGCTAGGCTGTTTAAGAAAGGTCAAGGCATTGGAATCAAGCAGAAAAAATATCTAAGGAGATAACCCAACTAAAATCGGGTTGAGAACTGTCCAATGTATTATTCAAACCCGGAAAGAAAGTGGGAAACTACCATCCTTGAGGGAGAAATGAGGTTGAAAAGTCCCCCCAGAATAGTCATGATTGATGATAACTTAAACGTTTGATGACATCAAATTGCAGAAAAACAACAGTAGCTCTCAGGGCGATGTTAACCAGTGAAAGTAGGAGTATTTCCACATGCACAGAGTGAAGGGACTGAACAGCTGTGTAGCAACAAGAAAACCACTAATCGGTGAAGCTAACCGGAGAAAAAGGCTTCAGTTTGGAAGGGAACATAAAGAGTGGACCCTAGAGCGATGGAAGGAGGTCATGTGGTCTGATGAGTCCAGATTTATCCTCTTCCAGAGTGATGGCAGCATCAGGGTGACTGTCTGCATCAGGCAGACGGTCTGCAGTGTAACACCTGCGGTGGCAGCGCTGTGATGTGGGGCTGCTGCAGTTGGTCAGGTCAAAGTTCATCAACATCATGATGGCTGGAGATGCTGAATGACCAGGTTATTCCATCAATGGATTGCTTCTACCCTGGAGACAGAGGGACGGCCCAAGATGACAATGCCGGGATTCATCGAGCTGAAATAGTGAAACAGTGGTTCGGGGAGGATGAGGCATTATTGACATGGATTGGCCACCAGAGTTCAAGCTGATCGCTGAGAATCTTTGGGATGTTCTGGAGAAGGCTGTGCCCACAGAGGCCGGCCTCTCGCATCGTCAGTACAACACTGGATAGAAATAAATCCTGTGACTTTGTAGACGCTGATCGGAACAATGCCACAGAAAATTCCAAGATAAATGTGGTGCAGCAAAATACTAGAGTGTTTTTGGCAGAGGTGTAAAGATGTTTGGTTTGGGCTGGTGCATAGAGGCTGAGTGGCCACTCCCTATATAGGATATTAGTCTTCAACGCAGCTGTTTGGGGTTCGGTTCCCAACCCTTCGCTCTCTGTCTATTTCCTGTCTAATCTACTAAAAATAAAGGCTGCTAGAAAAACCTTTAAAAACAAGATCTTTGGTTCTTGGTTCCTGCTGAGAGCGGCTTTCCTTCTGCTCCTCTCACATTATACCAGTAAAATAATCTAGCTGTCCTTTTAAAACCACTTCTGTCCATTGACTCACTGTAGAGTTTCAATAGAACAGCAGTCTGTCTGCAGATCACTCACCCAACAAGCATTCAGCAGAGATGAGCCGGTCATAATGTAAAGCAGACAATGGAGCTGAAAGATGGACACGGTTTTGGTGTGAGAGGTGAGCGGTGGACCTGTTTGTCAGAAGCCACATGTAAAACCCTGAGAGGAGCAGACTGCCACGCTGCGGCTCCTTCGCTCCCCATTTAGCCTGATCCTTCACAAAAAGATGATGTTTTCTTCACAGTCTTATTTTTTCCATTATGAGATGAGAGAGAGATTCTGCACAACAGAATTGAATTTGTGAGCTCTTGATGCTAATTGCCTACCCTTTGTCACTTCCTGTCATCAACAATTCTTACCCGAGTTTTTGGATTTTGCACTATTCAGCTCTCCCAAATAAATGCCACGGCTGTGAGGACACGTGTGTAGTTTTCTTGGCAACATGCTGGCCGAGACACAAGCAACTCTGACGGTAGCTATAGGAAGTTGAGCTGATGCAGAGCTGACTGATCGGCTCAGCCGCGTCTCTGGATCCACATGATGTAGCAGAGCAGCTGCATCTCATCGCCTCATCATCCCTAACGTTTAGCGACAAACCCTCAGCACATACAGGGTAAGTGCATGTGAAAGTCATTTCCCTCACAGGCATAAACAAACTGCACATACTGGGAAGTTAACTCACTAAGTTGGGAAGCGAAGATCATTTTGGGCATGATTAAAATTAAAATCTCTTCATAAATGAGCCTTCGGAACTTGTGCAGAGGTGCTGACTGCTCAATGTAGAGTTCAGAAAATAGGTTGTTACAGCTTTCAATCCATGATAAATGTCAAAAAATTGAATAAAGTTTAGGAAACCAGACAGCTCTCCTGGATGCAGAAAGTGGGAAAAAAAAAACTAAAAATATGCATAGATAAAAATAAATAATAAAAATGCCTAATAATAATAATAATAATAATAATAATAATAATAGCAATTATTATTATTCCTAATAAGTATATATGTCTATGTGCAGGTGTCTGCCTCTTAGCTGCATTTTCTGTGACAGTTTAAAAGGAAAAGTACATTTCATACAGCAGAAGTGATGGGAGCAGTAGTAGAATTTCATAAATAAAGAGACAGACATAAGGAATGACTCACCTCTAACCGGAGCTGTTACACAAATCCTCCCTCCAAGTGGCTCTGAAGGACTGAGGAGCATAAAACGGGTGGATTTATGAGTCGTGCCAGTGGCGATGCTGAGTTGTGTGTGTCTGAGTGAGGAGAGAAAGGGAGAGAGAGAGAAAGAGAGAGACTGACTGTGTTGAATACGACACACAGCCACAGCGAAGAATTTTTAGCCGGCTTTCTCTCACCGGGGAGCGAAGGGAGCAGCAGCCAGATGCTTCCTCTGCAAGAAATGCAGTCGCTTCAAAGCTCCAACAAACAGCTGGGGTTTTGTCACAACTTCTTGTAGCGTGTGTTCACAGCTGTTACATCCAAATGACTGGTAAAAGAAAAGTCTCTGTCTGGGTGTGATGAGGCTATATGGCATCACAGCAGTTCAGCACATTATGATAGATTTTATTCACTGACTCCAACAACTAAAACTTGTATACATTCATAAGCCAGCCACAATAGTAAATTTTGCTGGACGACAAATTATAATATTAGTGTTTCAAAAATCATTTTCAAGTAATAAATAAAGAACAAATAAATTAAAGAACACATTCTGATCTGTAAACTTTAAATGCTAATGAACATTTAACTATTTAAATTGTTAAATTTAACAATTTTAATTTAAACAAATAAACAACAATACAACAACAACAAATAAAATTAATGATGAAGTCTATGTAAAGAAAATTGTCCTTCAAAGAGAGAGCTAGTTGAGACCAAAGCACCAGACTGAAGACTTTTATAACCCAGATTTGGTAAAAAAAAAAAAAAAAAAAAAAAAAAAGAGAGAAAAAAAAAAAAAACCCAAAAAAAAAAAATTTTTTTTTTTAATTTATCATGTGTTTAA